TGGTTTTATTATGATGTAATCACTCTCTCACATCCAATCAGGGTCTCCACCTGGCACCTCCAGAGGCAGTGCAGACTCACCCAACTGCAGCTCAGGGAAGGCTATGGTTCCTCAGTAATGGATACCAAGAGACGGTCTTTTTTTTTTTCTTTTCTTTTTCTTTCTTTCATTTTATCATTTTTACATTTACTACATGCATATACATTGCATGGAAGACAGACTGTGGCTCTAGATGCAAGGATTCAAACCCAGCTCTATCACTTACCAGTCATGCCTCCAGGGACCTCCCTGTGCCTCAGTGTCCTCCTACCACAAAAGGGTACTAAACCATACATAGCTCACAGGGTTGTCTGTTGAAGACTATGAATTAGACAATGGAAACCATTTGGAAGAGTGCGCATATAACAAGGTCTATGTCATTGTGCTATTGTCTTTAGAAGAGACCAGAGATGATTGGTGTCTGTCCACTGGTTCACTGGAGTCATTCAGAGCTTGACCTGACTGAATGAGGAAAAAATAACCAAAGGAATGGATGAATGAGTGAACAACTGGTGTTGAAAAATAGCTTTGCACTTTGGAAACCTATTTAGCTTCTGATTGGGCATGCTGACTCAATTACTTTGCATAGTAGCATTTAGGTTTATCAGCATACTCTCAACAACTATACTACATGGTCTTCAAAACCCACAGGCAAATTGGGGCAAACGTGTGGTGTCAACGTGGGCCCACAGTGGGTCACCATTCGAATGGCACTAAACACCCTTCGCATGAGCCTTTGCACAGACCCACCTAACATGCAAGTGGATTTTGCTCCTCCTCAACAACATTCACAGAATAAGAAAGAAAAAGGATGGCACCAAAGAAAGAAAAGTAGATAGAAGCAGAAACCAGAAGCAGTTACCTAGGACTGTGCCTGATGCAAAGTGGGTCCTCAATCAATGTTTGTTGAATGAATGAATGACTGCTAAATCTTACTTTGTCCTCATTTCAAACTACAAACCACGAACAGATTTCCAGAGATACAGTAACCATTTTCACTTCATTCATTTTTTAAAAATCCTCACAACTTCCTGCAGAGGAATATGCAAAATATTTTCCCATGTTAGACAAATTATAAATCTCTCATTTCTGGAGAAGGCTCTGCCATTTACCAACTGCGTGACCTGGGGCCCAGTCATTGTGATTCTCTGAGCTTTGTTTTTCTCATAGGTGATTCTAGGAATCTGCAGAAAGCAGACAATCATATAATATCATGAATGTCTGTTACGTGTGAGGGCAGGCTGATATTTCTTCATGATATAGCCAGTACTCTATGTGTTAGTTATAGTATTCCAACCCTATTATTATTGATAAGGCCCATTATTGTGCATTGGTGTGTTGACTTTCTGTCACAGTGACAAAATACAACTTAAAAGAGGAAAGATTTACTTTGACTCACAGTTTCAGAAGGCTCAGCCCATGGTTACTACCCATGAACTGGGGAAAACATGCTTCTAGAGGAGATTCTCTACATCATGGTAGACAGGAAGCACACTGACAGATAGACAAGAAGGGGCCAGGGGCAAGTTATGCCCTCCAAAGTCACACCCCAGTGACCTAATTCCCCCAGTCTGGCCTGCCTTCTACAGGTCTACCACCTCCAAAAAGTCAGGGGTTAAACCATACATTGGATTTAGAGTGCTCATGATCTAAGTCATCTCTAAAAACCACTCCCTGACACCCCCAGGGATGTGCTTTACTAATCTCCACCTGGCACCTCAAGAGGCAGTGCCCCAAGTTGACAATCAAGATTAAACCATCACAATTAGTTGACTCCCTTACTTCACCATAGGAACTCAGGAGTTTGTGAAACACTGTGATACCATAGCCACAATTCATTTAGCACTTGCTAAAAATGCTGTGCAGTCTCTCACAGGTCCCTCCCAACTCAGTGAGTATTACAAATCTGCATGGACACACCTTCCCCCAACAGTGCAGCATAACAAGCAACCATGAAAATCTCAGGACACAGAGCAATAAATACCTATGTGGGTTCAGTTGACCTGGGTTGGGCTCATCTGATCTCTCTCCTATCTCTCTCTCCTCTCTCTCTCTCTCTCCTCTCTCTCTCTCTCTCTCTCTCCTCTCTTGTCTTCTCTCTCCTCTCTCTTTTCTCTTCTCTCCTCTCTTTCTATCTCTTCTCTCTCTCCCCCCTCACTTTTACTTCTTCTTTCTCCCCTACCCCTTTGGTTAAATCAGGTGGACTCACTCACACGTCTCGGGGTTGGACAGCTGTTGCCTGAGCTGGATGGCTGTGGTGTGAAGACTGGGACAACTTAACATACAAGCACTTGCCAGGCTGGATCATCTCTGCTTACATCCATTGACCAAAGCAGGTCACAATGCCAACTCAAATTCAAAGGATGGGAAAGTTCACTGCAAATCTTTTATGAGAGAATCTGCAAGGGCTGGAGAGAGGGGGGGTGTTATGAGTTAAACTGAGTCCCTCTCAAGATTCATATGTTAAAGTCTTAACCCTGACACCTCAGAATATGACTTTATTTGGAAATAGGTTTTTAGAGATAACCAAGTTAAGGTGTGATCATTAGAGTGGGGGCTAATCCACTCTATGACTTGGTGTCATAAGAAAAGGAAATTTGAGCCAGGTGTGGTGGGTGGCTCAAACCTATAATCCCAGTTACTCGGAGGATTTAGATTTCAGGCCAGCCTAGGCAAAAGCATTCATGAGACCCCCATCAGTACAGAAAAAGCTAGGTGTGGTGGTGCACACCTGTTATCCAAGCTACAGTGGGAAGTATAATATAGGAGGATTATGGTCCTGGATATCCTTGGAAAAAAGCAAGACCCTATCTCCAAAATAACCAGAGCAAAAAGAAGTGGAGGCATGGCTCAAGTGGTAGAAGGCCTGCCTAGCAAGTACAAACCCTAAGTTCAAGCCTCAATATCACCAAAATAAAAAGGATGAGGTGGGGAGATTTGGACACAGATACACATGGAAGGTGACATGAAAACACAGGCAGAAGATGGCCATCTACAAGCCAAGGAGAAAGGCCTGGAACACAATCCACAAAATCTCAGGCTTCAAACCTCCAAAACTATGAAATAGTACATTTCTGTGGTCCCAGTCACCCAGTCTGCAGTACTTTGTTATAGCAGCCCTAGCAAACTAATACAACAGGTAAAGAGCTAAGTCATTAGGCAATCAATTCTCAAT